AACGGAATAGGAATAGAGGACGCAGATCGACAGCCGCATATCATGAGCTGTTAAACAGCGCGGTAAACATATCTCCTCTTCACGGCTGCAGGAGTAAGTTACAAGACCACATCGACGTGCTCTGCTGATTGTTGCCACGGCCTGGACCCGGCGACTCTTTAAACGGCCGCCTTAGCTGGCCGATTTCGTTTTTGCACTCGACGCGACAATGGTGAAGCAGTGCAGAACTTTAGTGATCAGAGCTGACTGTTTGTCACCAACACGTGCTTCCAGAATTACCACACACGCTGACTTGGTATTCATTAGGGGGCCATATGTTCAGTCATGTCGACTACAATCCAGTTGGCTCAAAGTTCCGCACCTGGGTTCACGATTGCAGATCGACGCGTGGTGCCGAAACTGGTAACGCACAGAGGTCAAATCATGTTCTCATTCGCAAGCGCCCGAGTGTTCACCTCTCCTCTGCACCAGAAATATCACGTGCAAGATCACTTCATGTCGCAAAACTGTGGGAGTCTAACACAGTTTCACAGTACGACCGCGGTCGAGGGGAAAGGAAGTAGTCAGCGGTTGACATTGAATTCATCAGTAAATGAGGCAGTTAAGAAAATCTTGGATTCACCAAGCTGCTCATCAGTGACTGAGTCAGCGGAAGAACCTTGAAGTTTTCTGACCAGACGACTCGAACCAGGTCCCGCAACGAGACCTCTATACGCAATCTCCGGAAATGACAGTAAATACGGTTAGGGATGGCCGGCAAAAAATATTTGGCTAAAACAACGACCTCCATGGGCGGGAGTGACTTATGTGGATGTCTAAACAGGACATGGAAATAGGAACGACCACCCAAGTAATAAAGGTGGACTTTTGCATAATTTTAGACAGGGCGAAATATCCCCGTATCCTATCCTCAAGAATAACCCTAATATAAAACTGACCGTTACCTTTATCTTGGCCATAACCCTTTCCTAAACCTTAATTCTACAGTTAACATTAACTCCTAACTTAACCATAAACTTGTGTTACCGTCAACTTTAAATCTCACCTTAAACTTAGTTCTTAACTTGACCCTCATCCTTATCTTCAACCCAATCCTAATTTCATTGGAAGTTGGTCCAAAGCCCCCCGCATAGTAAGGGGTTCCTGTTCCCATGTCCTGTTTGGACGTCCGCATAAGTCAATCCTACCGCTCCATGGAGCAGGTCTCAAACGTAAGTGACACTCGAAAACTCTACCAAATTATCCGTCAGTTTAGTGGCAAGCTCTCTGTACTGAGTGAATGTGCTCGGGATGAGAATGGCGACTTTACCGCTGACAGCTCGACCAATGGGAACTTCGAGCACTTCCACAATGATGAATAACCCAGCATGCGTTCACTTACTGTGGTAGAGTTTTGTCCCTCTCCACTTTATGTAGTCTGGTGTGACCCAATTCAGGAATAGGTCTGCGTAATATTTAGGCGCTGCACGATAAGGGCACTCTAGGAGGATGGAGTTCCCACCGAAGTCTGTGATTCTTGTGCGGATACTTTGGCGTCCGCGCTCCAGGGGTGATTGAGCAAGCGTGAAGAGGTGAGGTAGTGTCTTGTGCCTGGGTCATGACATCCTGGGGCCTGTCTTCAGGAAGAGAAATAAGTCTAAGTGCAAGAAGTACCACGACATAAGCCTACTCAGCGTTGCCGCGGGGTTCTTCGCCGTTGTTATTCTCAGGCCATTTCAATGTGTGCATGTGACTTGTGCATGATATCCGGCCGAGCTGGGTTCCATGCTGAAAGTGGATGCGTGGACCGGATATCCGCACTGTCGCGCATTCCTGAATTTCTTCGTGGCTACCAGCAGCGGACGGCCACTGCCGCCTGACGACAATGCTTCGAGTGAAGTATACAGACTTTCTCTCAAATGAGACAGTCCGTGCTAGTTGCCAAAACGTCGTGAGAGTATCCCAGGCGATGCAAAAAGGTGGCTGAGACGATTATGGTACGTTCTGCAATGACCGCTTCATAAGCTTGGTGTTGCTACCCTCAATCCGACATCGCTGCCAACCGGGCGACGTCGAAGAGGAGGCCAACTCCAAACCTAACTCTAAACAGTTCGACAAGACGTTGGGAGTGGTTCTTGAATTCTCGAAATTCGGTCACCGTGGCAGTAGGTTAAGAAAACGGATCGAGCTCTCCAGGTGCACTGCCATAGATCATCACGCGTGGAGAGGGGGAGCTCGCAAAATCAAGGAGGTCTGCTAGATGAGGCATAACTACAGATGTGCCAATTGAAAGCAGTTTTTCTGACTGTACCATGACGAACCTGTCTAGATCTGTTTTGTTAATCGAAGGTCTGAGTCTTTCATGTCGGCGAAGGCGGTCACTAAAATAAGCAGTGGTTCTAACCCTGTTGATGTCGTTAAAGTCTGTAATTTGCCCGAGACTACACCTTTACTAACGGATAAAACAGTTCAGTCTATTTTGAAGAAAGGCTCTGGTTTGTCATAACATTTCGGACGATTCCTTGTGAGGTTTTGAGAATTTTTCTGTGCGCTGATTCCCGCCAGGACTACCCCTTCTCAATGGACACCGTCCCCTTTGACTTGTTACTGTGAGTTTTTGTTGGCCACTATTTAAGAAGAGACAATGGTCCCACGCCTGCGACTCGAAATGAAGATCGCACTAATGCAGTGAGTGAATCGCTGAATAGAGTTCGCGCTTTCTTGTACTAGATATGACTGATAGTGGCCAATCTAACTGGTCTCGATGATGTAACGTGTTGTACCTATCCACACGTGACGATCTGTGGCGGCGGATCTGGACAGCTCTTCTCCGGCGACAGAGAACGATTATCGAAGACCCAAGAACCACTTCCATGTCTTGACGAAGCTTGCTGACAACTCGGCCAAGATCGAACACTGGCATGTGCACTTCGTGAGCCTCCCCAAATTTGGTGAGCAACCCACCACATTCTCGCTTTCCTTTGGAGCAGAGTTTTATCCCTCTCCAGTATCATTTGATACTCTCGCTATCCGAGGGAAAAGCGCTGATGCAATCTGGGGCTACAAAACAAATAGGCGTCCGGAGAGGACAATATTTCCACTGGAATTTACAAATTTGGTGTAGACAATCTATGAAGAGATATGAGATCGCTCCTGAGAACTGGAGTTCCGTCATCTCTTTGCATGTTTTCTAGGAGGGCGATATGTCAAATTGCGAGAACTACCAAGGCATAGACCACATCGACGTTGCCCCTCTCCGGCGAATCCGGTCTCTGTGTGACTGAGACGAGGCCCAGCGGAACCATATCCAGGGATGGGCGTGGATCCATGGGCCGGATTGCATTTGAGGATTCGCCATGGCTGCCAACAACCGACGGCTCTCTGCTGTTGATTTCGCCGCTGAGTTCGCTTCGGTCCATCGTGAGTCCCGGTGACGAGTAACGGAAATAGATCACACGCCCACCGAAAAAGCCGCCATGATCGGGGCGTACACGGAGACGACGGAAATGTTCGTAAAGTGGCCCTTTAATCTCATACAAGCCATGCAATTATTGACTGTTTCCCAGGCGAGCAGCTCCGTGGTTCGTTTATTGCAAGAGGGTGATCGCTACGCCCTGCCTACCAAAGAGTCGGACGGGCCGCTGGTGCACAGGGTGGAGCGGAAGTTGACTCCCAGGTACTTTTATTGCCAGAGCACATGAGAAGGGGATTCCGACAGGCAGCAGGCATCCACACTGTACTGACGAGGACTGCGCCCCGTCAAACCTCGGGTACCAGTCTATGAACGTTCGCAAATTTCAACAACCGACACGAAGATTCCGTTCCTGATTAAATGGCTATTCGTCTTCACCACTGAATCAGGGTCGCAGAGCACGTCAATGCCGTAACATGGATTGTAATACTTAAGTTTGGCTCAATAACCAAACCACTAGGCGGCGGTGGCAAGCAAACTAATTCAACGGCGGCTCACGGTCGGCATACCACGGTGCCGTCATCGGACATTGCGGCGTTTTATAGGGCGGTCAACGCGCTAGACCTCTGCCCCCGTGCCTTGGTAGCAGGGCCGCCAGTGGTTCGGGACTACTCATTTGCCGGACTCGAGACCCCGCTTATTTCACATCTAATCTTTGCTGAAGGCTGTTTCACTATTCGCCAACTGCGAACACGCCGGGTAGACAACGGTTAGGCCAGCGGGCAACTCGTCCTCCCGGGAGGATACCAGTGCACAAACGTATGTTAGGTGAGTGTTCACGTACACGGCGGTTCCCAGCCTACCAACATGGCGGCCGTGCAGAAAACTCACCCCACTGGTCGAGTAGTCGCACAGCCTGAAACAGCCAGTGCAGTTGAGACCCCGATGGTTTTTATCGAGATCATGAAGTGTAAGGGTCGTTGACAGGCTTCGGGAGAGGGAACTCGGCAGCTACTCCTCATCAGCCAGTCATTCCTACCCCGGCCCAAACACATCTCGCAGACTATCCACAGCGGGACTGAAGTGATGGGTCGGCAACACAACCGAGCCAGTCCCCTAGGGCTTCCGCATTAATTGGTCACAGTCCAGATCCTTGACGCATTAATTCGCATACGGATAGAGGCACACCGATCAGCCTCGTCACCCAGAGGAAAAAGGCCGTGACTTTCATTTCAAACTTGGCATGCATGCTGAGATGTCAGTTTATATCAGTGTTTGTCCGACAGGCTCTTAGACGATCGTCGTTGTAGGCAATATTGCCGCCCACCAACGGAACCAGCAATTAGTGAAGGTATGCAAGGGAGAGAAGAAAGAAAATCCTTTAACGCATTCAACATTAAAAGTGACACAAAGGCATCTGTAAGAAACAAAATAGCAAATCAAATAAATGATATAATGAAATGAAACGACAGAGAATCTTGAGGTCAGAGTGACGGCATGAACACAGCTGGGAAACTGGTGCATTGCCCGAAGAAACGGATACGTGATACATAAGCTTCTCTGCCAAGCATATGTGGGATAAGTGGGGAAGGAAACCCCACAATCGGCGTTAAATACTCTCCGAGAGACGGCTGTTGGACGATCTGGCAATCGCTGAGTAGCCATTGGCCGGCTGAGGCGTAAAGGTGCGCTCCTGGACACAGAACGGTTGAGATAGGACTACAACACTGTCCAGCCGCTTTGATCTGTGAAGGTCATCACAATCACCACTGGCGTTAGGGGGTAGGATGACCTTCGCCTCCGCGTGCGCGTCTGTATTGTTAGTCAGAGAGAATTTGTGATCACCCAGAGGTAGACGACTCCTCTCCAGTAGGGTTGGAGTTAACGAGCGCAAGCCCATTTCATGAACAGTGGTGGCTGTATGCGTAACAGGAGTCGGGACTGGGTTTAAGTCGGGCGCAGGGAGAGACACGGATGAGCCTTGAGACGGCAGTCTGTAGGATGGTGGAGCCCCAGAGTGAGTCTTGGCCGGTGGGAGAAAAGCAAACAGAGTTGCACAATACATTTTAGACAGTGGATACAGCGTAATCAAGATAATTACAACGATCACGCTGAGTGAAAATGGAAAGTGATGAAACAGTTTCGTGATATTTCTAATATCTTCCCGGACAAAACTCAGCACCCTACCAAACGTGCTAGTGTGGATACCCTGTGTCCGGCCACTGTTTTGGTGAGGAAGTTTACCGAACAGACTTTATGCATCTCTCTGAGGCTTACCCTCATAATGGTGGCGCTCGTGTCCAGGCTGGAGCGGCCCCAACAAAAGGATCCCACCAAACCTACGCTGTGAGCCGTGGTTGTTAGGTCCTGTTCACGACCGATCTGCCCACCACACAGAAGTCGGTGCTCACCCATTATTGGTCAAGTTGATGGCGGAAACTAGGCGCCACCTCTGAATGCCATAGGGAACGTGATGCTCAGGTAGCTGCCACTTACGCCTCCCTAAGTACGTCTAGTTGAATTTTTATTTTTAGGGGAGACTACGCCGTCCTGGATGCACATAAAGCTCATTTAGTGGGTCCGAAATAGCGAATCGTAGTGAGCCACCTTCTTACCTGAAAGGTTAAAAGAACACCACAAAACCGCAAGGGGTGACATAGGCGTTTTTTACCAGAGGAACCATCCAGAAACGGTATCGAGTGTGCCTCCACTGATAAAACGGAATCAAGGAAGTCTGCAAACCTTAAACGTAACATTAGGCCCCTAACCCTAACCTTAATGCTAACGTGTACCTGAGACCCAACGCCAACCTTAACACTTGGAACTAGCAGTAACCCTTATCTTAACCCTTAAATCTAACTTTAACCTTGTCGATGTTGGCTTAACATGTGGGCCAATTGCTAGGCTAAAGTAGTGGGTCAGTTAAACCCTTTTACCGCATAACGCCTTATGCAATCCACTGCCAGGCAAACCATAATAAAACATACCTACAGTAGGTAGGCTAACTCATGAAATGTCAACCGAAATTTCGAAATGCGTTCTCGTTTCGAAAAGATTAATTAAGTATGGTTGTAAAACTAATCATCATGCAGCATAATTCCATAATGATCCAGTTACTTCAGGGTGCCTTCTTTCAAATGAACTAATTTCCGACTGCAAGCAAGAAGTACACACTGCAAAAAATGACTACTTAGGTAGCATGCAATTTTCCCATTGATTTTTCATGGTCTTAAAAATTTAATTATATTTAATGGAGAACATGCATACAAATATTTAATCTTTTACTTATTCGGTAGAGAATTACGTCTTCTTTCAATTTCATACTCGAAGGGGCAGTATAATTAAGTTTTGTCAAAAACTTTTCTAATTCCCTAATAAATCTGAACCAAACCTTCTGTTATACTTGCATTCAGGGTTACAAAGCTACAAGCCGTATATTTTCTGTGTACGGAAAACCGTACATTTCTCTACGGTATTAATAGGAGAACGTATGGGGTTCATAAAATTAAGCAGTGGATTTGAGTAATATTGTTAACTTTACAAGCCACATTGGTAAATGCGGATACATAACGTTTTGTGAACGACCATTTCACGGTATTAAAAAATCTCACAATTAGAAACTTTTTGAAATCGAATTATACTCCAAGTATAAAATTGAAAGAAGACGTAATTTTCTACCGAATAAATAAAAGAATGAATATTTTCATGCATGTTTTTCATGAAATATGATTGAACTTTTAAGGGCACTGAAAATCAACGAGAAAAATGACTACTACTTGAGTAGTCATTTTTGCAGAGTATAGATCTTGCATGCAGTCGGAAATAAGTTTGTTTGAAAGAAGGCATCCTGAGATAACTAGCTCATTATAGAATTATGCTGGACGATGATTATTGTTACAAGCATACTTAATTAATCTGTTCGAAACGAGAACGCATTTCGAAAGTTCGGCCGACATCTCATGAGTTAGCCCACCTACTGTAAGCGAAATAAGTAGGCACGTTTGAAGTATAACGACTAGGCGGGGCCACATATGATACTGTCGCCGAACTTTCAATTGAACAGAGAACCGTAGACAGGCTCCCCAAAGTGAGCCACCGCCTTCCCATTATGTTCACCCATGAGAAAATTGCTACTTTAACACAGGGGCCTGGCTATTTTAATGCCATTCAATGAACCGAATTTGTTGTTGGTTCGGATAAATTCATGACGCATTATTGACGGAGTGTGGAAGGCTGCGCTACTTGTCGGGATCAACGACCAGGAAAGATGCGCTTTTTCTTCTCCTTTGACCGTAGTGTTCGGAGGATTTTTTCGTCGTAATATTTTAGCCCTTGACGAGAGAGGTGTAGGGATCTCTCATCATCCCGTACACTTTACAGTGAAAGAGAAAAACTATACTTTGGTTTTGACCAAAAAAGGATTCTCACCAACGGGTATCCGAACGAGGAGGATAAGAGCGGGCTGGTGACGGTGGCGTCGGAAGTGAGTTCATCTTTGGATGAAAGGAAGTCAGGGGACTGGGCATCATCGGTGTCTTCCTCGTCATTATACAAAAACGAGGCTGTATCGACCTCCATGAGTTCTGGGTGCTCAGTGCTTGACTGATTTGCCCCAGGCATAATGACGTCCTCCTCTCCCATATGAGGGCGATGCCAAGCTCCCCCATCATCTTCCTCTTTCTCGTCCTCCTTCAGCAAGGCTGTTGACGTCGCTAAATGTGTACCTGACGATTGCCCAAATGAATCTGCCTGTGGCCCAACATCCTCCTCCTGATCCTCTGATTTCTCTTCCTCCTCCTTATCGTTGTCGTCAACTTCTTCGTCTGACTCGTTTTCATCCTCCAGGGCTTCAGTCGACGGAGATGAGGGCGCGTTAGGGACTACACAGACCGGCCCGCCGCCATAAATCTCAAATAATAAGTTCCACCATCCAATAGGGATAAGTTCGTAGGCAGAACCTCGACGCCATTGGTAGACAGGGGGACATTTTGGGTCCAACGAGGGCACGAGCTCCAAAACATCCGAATTGGCAATAGGGCCAGGAGGATCTTAAATAAGAGAACTTAGCTTCAGTCGAAGTATAAAGACGGAGCATATCATTTACTAGAAAAAAAAAACATACTAAATCGGCAAGGAGACAACAATAGACTGCTCTAAGTTCAAAAAGACATACATATATACCAATCAACTAAGTTTTATTGTTAAAATATTGCAAGGTCTGTCGGTCTACAAGAGCGGGGGGATGGAAAGACAGAAGTTCAGGATTTAAGCTACTCGGGGCGGAACAAAACAGCCTGTACCGATCAGAATGCTTTTGCAAGCCATCGCTACACGGAAATCCTAACCGCACGAGGATAGCTTGAAGGATTCAGTAAAATATCTCGGGATCAGTCGGAGGCCGATCCACCAACAGAGGGACAACGACCCGTCTACTTCTGAAGCGTCTGCTACTCCAGCGTGCGGTACAGTAGGCGGGACTTTCGGCGCAGCATCACGAAACCTGGACGCATACACGGTCCCGGCTTGCACCACAATTCCAAACCCCATTCGAGCCCGCCTCACATAATCGAGATCAGTTCAAACCCTCCACCATAGGTGCATATTTCCTGCCCAACAACGGTGGCGGCCCAAACGGTAGTTCGACCGTCACATGCGGCGAGGTTCACCACTGCCCCTCCCGAGGCATGGGCAGCTCGGGAAATAAACGGGTAAGGGTCGGGTGAAGGACCCCAAGCAGCTCTAGCGTACAAAGAAGACCTACCTAACTTATCTAAGGGGGTTTTGGTCCGGCACGATTATTTTGGTTTGGTGTTTCACCGAAAAATGCTGTGTCGTCTGTTATAGGCGGTCTGGTGCATTATCTACAATCACCTCAGCTCAGAGTGTTGATAGGCGATCGTTGTGGACACCTAATGTTTACTTTTTAATTGTCCTGCTTAATTTCGGTTGTTATATGTCAACTAATTTTTGAAAAACTAATTTACCAATTATATATACTTACTTTGTCATTCCTCTATGCATACATAGGCGCAGCCCGTAAAAACTATATTGCCACCTTGCCCGTAAGACAGGCACCTTTGTCTGTTCGTGTGCGTGTGTGTGTGCTTGGGGTCCTTCACCCGATCGTTGCCGATAAAAGAAAACGATGTGTTACGCCACAGTGAAAATAGGCAACGGGACGCGACAGCACATGCCCAAGTATCTCGTTACTGAACAGGCGGTGGGTTGAGGAAAGACCTAGCAACACTCACTGATTTGATGACCTTCCACAAAGTTGATCCACGAATCCAACCATTTTGCGCTGATGACATACTTGGGTGCGCCCTGAAGACGGGGAAGCTAGACGAGAGAAGAAGGAATGCAGGTTAGGGTACAGTGCAGTTGGAAGCCAAGAAACAATTCACGAATGCGCACAATAGCGAAAGAGTTTTCGGAAAATTTGCGTGTTTTGTAAAATCTGCTCTCAACCAGACCCTGCCTCTCTGATGCATGCATAAGTTTTAGTCCGATATGCGTTGTTTTCACGTCTCACGAGCAAAATACAGCTTCATGGGCTTGTACTAGTAATCCTTGGAAAAGATATATGAAACACTATGGACGACACCAAACGAACTATGGTGAAATCATGGTCGCCCGAGACAAGATAATCAGTAGGAGATCAAAAACAGATTCCATGAGGAAATCAAAAGATTGAGAAATGAGAAAAATTTTCGAAAGGGTTTAAGAAGACTGAAGTATCCGTCGCCCGTCAGTTGCACCCTCTAGACCCCGACTGCTAATACAGACCAATTATTGATTGTTTGATGTCACATGACTGCCTGTAAAGGTTCCAAGTAAAAACTGAACATCCGCATTCTATCCTACCAGATTAGACCATTCTGTTCTGGACGTTTAGTCTGAGGGATTTCCGTATGATCCTCGGACTAAACACTCATGGAGTTTTCTCACACATTATAGAATGTTTTACCTAATGAACCATCTGTAATTATTTGAAATTATGATTTCCTTTGGTGAGATTTTCATTATTTTTCGGCATTAGTCATTAATAAGGGCAATAAGAGTATTTTTGCCGTAACAAATTAAAATGTTCATTTTGTTTGAATAAAGTGCAATTTAAAGATTTGCTGCTATCTCGGACAAAACAACCCTTGGAATAAATGACCAAAAGGGGTGTATCAGTTAAGGCCCCTCCACGTACATTAGCGACTAAGTCGCATACCATATCCACACTTTGCACTCAGCAAGTACAATTTTTTTTAAAAAATGTAGAACCAGAATGACAAAGAATGCTAAGGCCTTTATGGCAGCAGTGAAAAGGAGCGTGTTTTTATGAAAAGTCAGCCGCTATTCCCGCACAACATCTACCAAATACCAGACAATTGCGGAGTATCTTTCTATGAAGAGAAGACAGTTACGCAGTCGAGCCGCTCCGGACTAAAGCAGGGAGTACTTGGTTAGGGATGTGTACTAACTGGCACAAAAAGAAAACGGAACCAATAAATGCTCAAAGTTGGACACATTCTCTCCATCGGGACACATGTGAATCGTCCTCCAGAGTATGGATGGAGGGGTTCATGCCAAAGCAAGGTTTTAGCGCAGAAGAGTCGAAATAGCAAGTTTCGTCTTCTTTGCTGCTGGCAGTGGCCCAGACGTTATATGAAGGTAAAGGACACACAGTAGATGTGCTAACTCATGAAGTGTTGATCGAAATTCTGAAACGTGTTTTCGACTCGAAAAGATTACTTAAGTAGGGTTGTATGATTAATTACCGTGCAGTATACCCCCAAGATATTTCAGTTACTTCGGAATGCCGGCTTTGGACGAACTTCTTTCCGGTCGCCTGGAAAAACTACACTGTAAAAATATCGACTTAAGTGTTATGCATTTTTCTAATTGATTTTCTATGCCCTTATAAATTCAAATATATCTCACAAAAAGCGTGCATTAAATATTCATTCTTTTACTCACTTGAGAGAAAATTAAGTCTCTTTTGAGTTTTATGTTTAAAGGAAGAGTGCATTCCGACTTTAAAGAAGTTTTTATTCATGAGGTTTTTTAAAACCGTGAAGTGTCTATTCCTAAAACCTCGTACCGCTTCATTTATGTAAAATTTACAATATGGCTCAAAGCCACTACAGAAGTTAATGAGCCCCATTCGGTTTCCCCTTAATGTCATATAGGACCGCATGATTCTCCGTATGCGGAAAATGTACAGCTTGCAGTTTGGAAGCCCTGAATGTAAGTGTAACAACAGGTCGGGTTCAACATTATTCGGGAATTAGAGCCGAATTATACCTTTCCTTCAAGGATAAAATTTAACGACATAATTTTATTCCAAAGGAGTAAAAAAATGAATGTATGTTTTGTCTGAAATATATCTGAATTTATAAGAGCATCGAAAACCAATAGTAAAAGTTCATGCTACTTAATTAGATAGCCTTGCAGGGCGTAGTTTTTTCAGGCGACCGGAAAGAAGTTCGTCCAAAAGCCAGCATCCCGAAGAAACTGAACTGTCTTGAGAGTATGCAATCTTTTCGAGTCGAAAACGCATTTCAGAATTTCGGTCAACATCTCATGAGTTAACACATCTACTGCAAGACGTGCAAAGAAATAAACCAATGTAAGTCTTATACTTGAGCTACTATTCCAAGCTTTAGGGCGTAAAAAGTTGGCTGTATTACCCGCAGATACGCGTCCTTCTCATGCTGCCTGCGTTCGTTGAGAGCTTGAAGTGTGGACTCGCAAGTGGCGCATGATTCCAGCGTCCGCACCATCGGTCCGCCACCGAATCTAGGTAAGGATATCACAAAAAGTTAACAAAGACACTCTAAGGTTTACACTTGCAGCCATTGCTGTATAGCACGACGCAAATGTAATCCTACAACTGCCGCGACTACTACTACTACTACTACTACTACTACTACTACTACTACTACTACTACTACTACTACTACTACTACTACTACTACTACTACTACTACTACTACTACTACTACTACTACTACTACTACTACTACTACTACTACTACTACTACTACTACTACTACTACTACCACTACTACTACTACTACTACTACTACTACTACTACTACTACTACTACTACTAGGACTACCACTACTACTACCTCCCGCATGCATCGGTGGCTTGTCCGAACCTGTCGGCCAATTACTGAAGAAAATTGGCAGGGTGGCTGCATTAATATGCGTAAAACGCATTAATTGGATTAGGAAAGAACGCAAGCTAACTCAGCGCAGCTCGACTAACGCACATCCTAAGCCAATGCGGTCCCCGCTTCGGCTTAGCGCAAGAGCGGAGCAGCCTATACTCAATAGAAACATGTGTGAATAAGTGATGAATGAAGGCCTTCGGTGGATCGTGTGAAATGCGATGTAGAGATATGTTTGAGTAGATTTTTACAAACTATAAGTGCGTTAACGATTGGGGCAGATTGGAGTGTTGTGGTCTTGGCTGTTGTTAGTGGGTGGGAAGCAGTAATTCTAGGTGGATAATTTTGCAGGGCAGGTCAAAGGATGGAGTTTGGGCAGGCGGCGATGCGAGGAGATTGTACGTTAGGAGCATTAAAATCACAGACTCCAAAGAAGTAGGCAAGTCAGCTTGATTAACACGAAGGACCACTTCCGCTGCCGATCACCAGGTATTCTTAAGAAGTAGCTGACACATCCCGGCTGGACATCCACCAGCATTGTAATGATGTTGAGTGTGTCAGTCGACTACGTGCGGAGCATAGTTTGATCCCTTCACTTTTGCTTTCCACGTGCTTGGTTTTCATTGTTATGAAGAAGTTCCCCGAGAACCTGTGTTAAAGCCGACCGAAGGCATGATTGGTTTTGAAGATAAGCGCTGATCCAGACTAGTCCTAATACAACTCGTGAGATTCTGCCTGCGTTCAACGTAGCCCAGTACCGCAGTGCTCAGTTTCTTCGATGTTGTCTTCCCTCCAGGTCGTCAACGAGGTGGTTAGCCCAGCATTTTACAGTACACACTGCTTTTGTCGCCGGCGCATCATGGTAGTCCTGCTTTCGGACGAACAGGTAGTCCAGAAGTTAATATTGACGTGGTTTTTTTGCTCGAAATGGAGAAAAAAGACGGTGTTTGCAACGGCAAGACAATGCTGTGAGTATGTCATAAGCGGCAGAAGTCCGTTCCTATTGCTGCTCCCTAGACCGTGACAACATAGTACTCCCTGCCAAACGGTGATCGGTGCCTGTTCGTAATTTAAGTCAAGTAGAATAGGCGACTCTTTCGTCCTTGACACAGACGCGAGAAAGGAGTGCAGGTCCACGTAGAACCTGTCTTTGGAAACATATGAGCTTGTCATTACCAGGGCACGGCGCTGATGGTTATGACGACTTTGTTACCAAAGAATTGAAGCATCACTGGGATAAATGAATTCTTGCTTTAGTGTGGGGTAAAAATGGCAGCAGGCCGATGATTTCACTTTCAATAACGAAGGCGGTTCTGGAGGCCTGCCGTGCTTTTCTAGGACGACCACCTTAAAGGTGAGTATAGCCTGTTCTTCTTCCAGATGTTTCTGTTCATCAAAACGTGTGCCGGTAAGGCCGCGGATGTCTGCATTGCACCCGGTGAGCTCGGGAGTGGTTAAAATGGTTCTCTTCTTCGGCTAATTAGCCATTAAGTCATAAAAAAGAGGTTGGACATCCCAGGCTGCCAGAGTTAAGAAAGTCCTCCAGACAAAAGGAGAAAGTGGCAAGCGCTATTTCTGGCTGTTCTTAAGTCAAGAAGCTACAACAGACAATGACGACAGTTGGCTTATCACGAACGACGGAGGCCATTACTGTCGGCAGAGAGCATGGTGGCAACTTGTGTGTGTATTTATTTATAATGAGTGAAGATCCGGTATGTGGTCCCACCGAGAAAAGGGGAGACACGGACTCCTGTAATACGGAAACAGTGGTTATAGGAGTTGTATGGGTGGGCTATACGAAACTAACCGATAGCTGCTTTCGGGGAGCAAAAGTGAGAAAACGTACACCTAAGCCACTTGCTTGTTTAAATCCACCAATAATGGGCAAAACGTAGGCGCGTAATTTCAAATACTGGAAATTAAGAGCTGTAAACAGAGGGGAACATGACAGCACAGGGCATTCATTAGATATTCCAGGCGAACTGATGCAGGAACGTGATGACTAATCACATTAAAGGAGAAAGTATGAAGAATGCATTGTTAAATCCGACTCCCGCGACGGCTACGTCTGAAGATATAGCCGAATTTGACAAGGTTAATAGCCCACCCAGCAGCTCTAAACCTGTGTTTAAAGCCTTAGCCTAACTTCGAATCCTTAACCGAAACCCTAGCCTCCTAACCTTAGTGGCAAGCCGTGAGGGGAAGGGGTGAAAGGAAGGGGATTAATTTAGGCCTACCGAATTGACATAAGTAGCTATTCCACATGGGAGTAAAGACTAGATGGGGCCTCATACCCGATTGTCAACTTATAGTGCGGTAGAGCTGCACAGCATCTACGTTATCCATTACTACTGCGCCAAAATCAAGATGATTGGCGATTGGCGTGGACCCAACGGCTGACAGAGTTTAATAGAGCGTTTGATTGTGGCATACACGGCCCGGAGCCAAATTCCTCGTGCACCATGCTTCGTTCAGACGGTATCTCGGACAAGGAGGAGTGTCATTGACGACATACTAGGAAGATATAGCCGGGCCCCCAGTCCTGAGTAGGGCCGAATTGTCACGTCAGTTGGCAACCACGAGAGTAAGCGAGTTCGGTTGTTCACAATGAGGAGACTAGGCAACTGATTCGAAATAGATCGATCTGGATCTTCCTTCCTTCTCCCACGCCTCAACAGTCAATTACACGCAAACATTTCGTAAAGAAGCCCGTTCTTACCGTTCAATAAGAAGATTCCAAATTTTCACAGGAATCTGGCAGACATATTCATCTCTGTGTTCCCATAGCATGGGCTTGAAGTAGCCATGACTGCAAAGGAAGTCCTCATTGTTGACTGGTCCCGGGTCAGAAAATGTGGAAAAACGAGTTAACCATCGACGGTCGACCCACACAGAATCCGCCTTTGAGGGTGAAAGCTAGAAGCAAGATGAAAAGGCACACGTTCTCGTGAGTCTATGATAATACAAAGGAAAATACGCAAAGTTAGAGAGACTAGCTAGCATGAAAGCGGGACAATCCTAGTCTGTGTATCTCGAAAAGGTCCAAAGACCTTATGTCAAACAAACTTTAGAAGACTAGTTGACAAACGCAGGTACACTTTAAAAAATTTTCATTACGTCAATAGGGAGGGTACGTTGGCGGATGAAATGCAGTCAGTGGGGGCTCCCACAGTTCGTTGACAACGAAGAAAAATATAATGGCGGGAATGGATAATTCGGCCGAGGGAAATTTGCTTAATTCGATCTACTCCGCGCTATTCGCCTAGTTGACTTTGGGTCATGGCAACCACAGGCTCTGCACAAAGTACCGGCATGTGCAGCCTGACGATTGCTGTCTCCGCTGTCGAAAGCGGGTGCTCCTATAACAGGTTGCCGGCACTTGACAGATCACTTAAAAAGCCTCCATGGGGTCCACCTGATCGTCAGCATCTATAAGATATGTGAAGATGACGGACTTATCATTCATGCTTCTCTTTTTAAAAACCACATCGGCACGTGTTCACTCATCAATTTGTGTATGTTTAATTAATTACCCGGCGGAGCAGGTATGGGAGTGGATGCGAACGGAGGCAGTCTGTGGTGATAAGGTGTCTTTGCTTTGAGCGGGCGTAACCAGGCTAACAGACTGTTTGTATCTAAGCAGTTGCGAGAGTCCGGGGAACGGCCAAATCCAAACGCACCTCTACCAATTCGCCCACCAAGTAGCGCTGCAATGACAATGCAATAGAGTCGTCCGTCCTGTTGTAATCTTCAGTTATCGTTCGCCTCTCGGCTGCGATCATGGGAAGTCAGTCCAAGAAACTGTCTTCAGGCAACGAATACGTGACATCCTCTAGTTCGACTACAGTCCAGTTCTAACCCTGCTGGTTAAACAGCAGATCCGAAAAGGAGGTAGGAAACTTACGATGTATGTACTATTTTGACCAGGTATTCATTTGGCAGACGCTTGGTCAGATAAGGGGAATTTGTACCCACGCAAAGCGGCCCACCAATTCTTTATTTGGGCGGTCGGTGGTTCGGTCCCTACCTACAGTACGCCTTTTCAGGCCGTGTGAGTTTATTTCGCATAGCCTGCGCCGAGGGAATGTTCTAACTTCTTTTGCCGGCAGAAAGTACTTTCCGTTGCATCGTTGGAGCACTGTGCTCGTGTCTGTGTAAGAGGCAGATGTTATTACGGTGCTTTGTCATGCCTACGAAAAGGCGTTTCTAAGCTCAGCAAGTCGCGAACAAAGGGGATACCTATTCTGTTAAACAGTCGACCTGTCTTCGGTCCCTCCTGGACATCGGACTGCAAGCTAGACTTGTCAGATGAACATTAGGGTACCGAAGGGCACAGCAAGCATGCTTAAAAAACGAACAAACTACATATAAAATCTTCACCGGAGAGCTGACCTTCAAGTGCGCCAGGTAGGTAGGTGAAGTACACAGAAGACAAATGAGAATAATATGATAAAGTAGATTACCGAATATTCTGCGGCCAAGGAGTCCACCTGGATCCGCAATGGTGCAATATTGTCATCCTGCTTCCTGGAAGCAAAAATAATAGCACGGAGTAGGCATACAAAACGCTACAAATAACTAACGAAATCAACGAGATTGTCCGGATGCCTTGATAAAATGCATTCTGGCAAACAAGGCTACTTCGTGCATTTATCATGTAAAATATGAGGACAATTTTTGGGGATAAAGCCAAAAAAAGAAAGACACACGCCAAAGTGGGTTGTTTGGAAAGGACCTCAGACTGGCTCAATGGTGAAATGACAAAATAAATAACTACAAGGTGCGCTCTAAATTGATAAAAACAAACAATCTGGCTGAGAAGAGGCCAAGAAGGCCACTGTTGCCTTGACAAAGGGGTGATGTCTGCTCAATGTTCCAAAAAGAAACAAAATCACCGTCAAAAGATCCTTGGATATAACAACCTGGATAAGCGAAAAATGCAGATTTTATTAGTTTAGGGCCCAGCAGTAAGTGTGAGGTCTTGATTTTCTTCAAAAACATGCGGCGTAGTCATAAGATGGCTTCACTAAATTAGGACAAACG